ACCCCGGGCCCTTCCTGGGGGTGCAGGGCTGAGCCAATCGGGTGGACGGATCAGGGGTTGGGGGGAGAGAAACAGTGGAAAAGGGAGCCTGCAGCGCGGGGCAAGTTTTCGTGGCTGAAAATTCGCGTCTGGAACACGGTATGGGGAGGGGCCAGGAGACAGGCTCTGGGTGCCGAGGGCCTGACTCCCCCGCGGAGTCAGATGGGAAGTGGACAAACCCCAGGACCAGCGGCCAGATCTCCTCCTTTTTTTTTTTTTTTTTTTTTTTTTTTTTTTTGTTTTGGTGAATCCTCACCCGGGGATATTTTTCCATTGATTTCTAGAGAGAGAGTGGAAGAGAGAGGGAGAGGCAGAGAGAAACATCGATGTGAGAGAGACACATGGATGGGTTGCCTCCTGCACGCGCCCCGACCAGGGCCGGGGAACCTGCCACCTGGGCATGTGCCCTTGACCGGACTCGAACCCGGGACCCTTCCGTCCTCAGGCCGGCGCTCTATCCACTGAGCCACACCGGCCAGGGCCAGCCGGGTCTCCAGGCAAGATTTCCAGTCGAGTCCTCGTGGAACCGGAGCGTGGTTCCTACCGAGGAGATGGGACGCTCAACTGTACTCTCGGACCAGGGGTGCACTCACCTGCGGTCCAGCCCGGGCACCCCACCACCTGCCACCAGGCTCCCGGGGCGGCCCAGCCCCCACAGCCATCCCTCACCTGCTTCTGTGGGCTGCTGGGGCTCCTGGTGGCATCTGAAGGGGTTTCACTGTGACCCCGCTCCGTGTGGCCTTGTTCTGCGGGAAGACCTCAGCGGGTTAAACTGTGAGTCTGCAGTTGGGAGGGGGGGTCGCAGGCTCAGCCCCCCGCCCCAGGGCTTCGGACCCTTGCTCTCCATGATGGGCGAGGTGGCTGGCAGGTGGCAGGGTCCATGCTGCCGCCCTCGGGGCTGTGGCTGGGCGCTTGGCTGCTGGCTCTCCCAGTGCATGACAGGGGGAGCCTGGCAGAGGTGGACGTGGTCGGCGAGGCACCCCTTTTCCAGCAAACAAGCTGTTGCGATCCCCCCTCTCCCGCGTGGAGGGGTGAGGACGGACGGGGGATAGGTGCCCCTCCTTCCTTCCCGTGTCCGTGGCCACCGGCGTGGATGGATGGAGCCTGGCCTGCAGGCAGAGGAGCCAGCGGAGCCGTGGCTACACGAGGTCTTTTACCAGGAGCTCCGGCCGCTGGTCCCTGGGAGAATGGGAGCAGTGTCTGGGGGCCCGTTGAAAGAAGAGGCCCCGACCGGCGTGGCTCAGTGGCTGAGCGCTGTCCTGTGAACCAGGAGGTCACGGTTGGATTCCCGGTCAGGGCACATGCAGGGTTGGGGGTTCGATCCCCAGTGTGGGGCGTGCAGGAGGCAGCCGATCCATGATTCTCTCTCATCATGGATGTTTCTCTCTCTCCCTCTCCCTTCCTCTCTGAAACCAATAAAAATATATTTTAAAAAAAGAAAGAAAGAAGAGAGAAGGGGGTCAGAGGGAGTAGGCCGCCTGGTCCGGGAGGGACAGGTGTACCCTCTTTCATCGGCTTTCTTCCTGTTTATCCGAGGAATGTGGAGCGGGGGGAGGAGGGGAGTCCGCAGAAAGAACAAATGTAGAGATTTTCTTAGGCGACTGGGGCCTGCAGGGGAACGTCTTCAATGTCTGACAAATAAAGTCCGCTTCTGCTGTGCGCGTCCGAAAGGTCCGCGCGGATCCGGGGCCCTGGGATCGTAAATGTCAGTCGCCCGAGAGAGACTCCATCTGTTTATTTGCATTTCTGATGAGTTTGGCGAGGGAGCGATCTGAGGCCCTTAATACTTGGAAGGCAGACAAAGGGTTCTTTGTCGGGCGGGAGCCCTTTCTGGATCTTACATATATAATGCCATCTTCTCTCTCCTGGCCGGGCCGGGCCGGATTCGGAATGGATGGGACTTAATTAACTCTTTGAGTTAATCTACGTTCCAGTGGGGGGCGGGGGGGGGGGGCGCCTGCCTGCCTGCCCGCCTCTCTCCACGGCACACAGAACCGGTCTGGGGGTTTCTCCCTCGGGATCCCCCCAATAAGTCCTTCCTCGAACCAGGACAAATGGGGAGCAGAAAGCGGTGTTGTCGGTCGGGCTCTGGGGCTGCCGGCTGTTGGGGGGCGGGGTGCCCACAGAGGGAGGGGGCAGGGGCTGCTCTCCGCTGGCTCCAGCCACGTGGTCACGTCTCTTCTCCAACTGGCTGGAGCGAGGTCCCACGGTCCTCTGTGACCATGTACCTAACCCCCCCCTCCCCCCCATGGCCTTCCCCACGGACACGTGGGGCTTAGATGTTGGAGCTGACCTGCGGGCTCGGTGCAAATGAAAGAAAAAAAAGAAAAGAGGGGCCCGGCTGGTGTGGCTCAGTGGTTGGGCGTCGACCTGTGAACCAGGAGGTCAGGGTTCGATGCCCGGTCAAGGGCACAGGCCCGGGTTGCGGGCTCCATCCCCAGTGTGGGGCGTGCAGGAGGCAGCCGATCCGTGATTCTCTCTCAGCATGGATGTTTCTATCTCTCCCTCTCCCTCCCTCTCTGAAGTTAATAAAAATGTATTAAAAAAAAATAACAACACACAAAACAGAAAAACAGCTTAAAAAATGAGGGGGAAAAAAGAGAAAGGAAAACAGCTCGCCTCTGAGAATGTAAAGAAGGAGGCGGGAGGACTTCCTCAATGAAGAATGAGCCAGAGGGTTCTCACGCTGTCGGCCCACATTTTCGCTCCCGTGGGCAGGAGAGAAAGAGGTATATCCGTCTGTCCCTCCCGCGTCCCGCTGTCCTCATCTCTGGTCCCGGGCCTCGGCCCTTCCTGGGAGGTCAGAGATCAGCAGGCGGCTGCCCTAGGCGGGGCTGGAGGTGGAGAGAGGGCAAGCGAATCGAGCACCTCCCTCTGGCCACTCCTATTTCCGCACACGTGGAACCTGAGCCCGGCCTCGGCAGGGGGGACGCTGCTCCTGGAGACATTTGGGTCCAGAAAGGGATCCTTTTGGAGAATCGGATCGGACCTCCGAGACGGCCGGTCTTTCTTCATTCCTGAAACTCCATCCTCTCTAGGCTGAACCCGCGGAGCCGGAGGGTTCCGTGGACCCCAGTTTGGGAAACACCACAATGGACACTCAGCCCTCTCCCAGAAGGCATTGAGACCGCGTAGTCCCCACCCAGGGGTAAGGGGGCCACACCTTATTATACGCATCGATACGGTTTCTTTTCCTGTTTTATGAAGGGCCTCGATGCCCAACCACACAGGCCAGTTAGGTTTCTGTCTTGGGGCCTTTACGCACACGGTTCCTTCTGCCCCGATGCCGGCCTTCGTGCCGAGGCTTGCTCCGTTACCGACCTGCGTGTGGGCTTCATTCGCGTGTAATCTTCCCCCTGAGGATTTCTTTCTCTTGTTTAAGATACTAGCGGCCCGGTGCATGAATTCGTGCACCAGTGGGGCCCCTCGGCCTGGCCTGCAGGATCAGGCCAAAACCGGCTCTTGAACATCGCCAAGGGGTCCCGGATTTCAAGAGGGTGCAGACCAGGCCGAGGGACCCCACCAGTGAGTGATCTGGGCCAGGGAGGGACCTGGGAGGGCTCCAGGGCATGTCCGGCCCGTCTCGCTCAGTCCCTATCGGCGGGACCCCAGCAGCAAGCTAATCTACCAGTCGGAGCGTCTGCCCCCTGGTGGTCAGTGCATGTCATAGCGAGCGGTTGAGCGGCCTTAGCATATTTTTAGCATATTAGGCTTTGATTGGTTGAACGGCCGACCGGTCAACCAGGCACTGAACATATTAGGCTTTTATTATATAGGATATTTTTATTGATTTCAGAGAGGAAGGGAGAGGGAGAGATAGAAACATCACTGATGAGAGAGAACCATGGGTTGGCTGCCTCCTGCACGCCCCACCCTGGGGATGGAGCCCACAACCCGGGCCTGTGCCCTGACCAGGACTCGAACCCTTACCTCCTGGTTCCTAGGTCGACGCTCAACCACTGAGCCACGCTGGCCGGGCCTCTTGATTTTTTTTGCTTAGAAAAATCACAAAATCAGAACTTTTAAGTGACACAGACCTGAAAGGAAGAAGAAAGCACGCAGGGACAATTGCTGTTAGCATTTCAGTAGAGAGGGAGCGTGTGTTTACATACAGAGACAGAGAGAATTTGACATATGACAACATGTCGTTTGGTGGCATGCTTTTCCACTTCAGAAGAGGCCCGTAAAGACCAAACCTGCCCATCACTCTATTTCTGCAACCCTGTGACTTATGAACGCTGCCTGGTATCCCATCATCTCCGCGGACTACACTGTTACGTAACCAATTGGATGCAGAGGTTATTATCGCTGACTTTTTCTATTACAAACCACGCCGAAGAGACGTATTGGCAGCACTTTTATAAAACACATTTTTGTTGATTTCAGGGAGGAAGGGAGAGGGAGAGAGAAAGAAACATCGATGCTGAGAGAGAATCGTGGATCGGCTGCCTCCTGCACGCCCCCCACTGGGGATGGAGCCCGCATGTGCCCTTGACCGGGAATCGAACCCTGACCTCCTGGTTCCTAGGTCGATGCTCAACCACTGAGCCACGCCGGCCGGGCCCTAGCATTTCTTTTTTTCTTTTTTAAATATATATTTTATTGATTTTTTTACAGAGAGGAAGGGAGAGGGATAGAGAGCCAGAAACATCGATGAGAGAGAAACATCGATCAGCTGCCTCCTGCACGCCCCCCACTGGGGATGTGCCCGCAACCCAGGCACATGCCCTTGACCAGAATCGAACCTGGGACCCCTCAGTCCGCAGGCCGATGCGCTATCCACCGAGCCAAACTGGCCAGGGCCTAGCATTTCTTTATGTGGTTGACAACAAGCTTGAGTTAAAACTCCACTGGTGTTAACATCCCTCTTTTCCGCCCTCTCTTTTCCGATGCTGTCGCTATAGAGCTGGCTGGAAGGTTCCGTGCCGTCGGCGAGCCTCTGGGCGTCCGTCCTGAGCCATGGAGGCCGGTCCGGACACCTCCCTGTTCCTGGTGAAGATCCTGGAGGAGCTGGACAGCAAGCACAGCAACGTGTCCTACCAGGACCTGTGCAAGTCGCTGTGCGCCCGCTTCGACCTGCCGCAGCTCGCCCGGCTGCGCAGCGTGCTCTTCTACACGGCCTGCCTGGACCCCGGCTTCCCCGCCACCTTGTTCAAGGACAAGATGAAGTGCCCGGGGAACAACCAGCAGTCCAAGAAGATCATGGTGGCGGCCGACATCGTCACCATCTTCAACCTCATCCAGATGACCGGGGGCGCGGCCAGGGAGAGGCTGCCCCCCGGCG